TCCGGGCCAAGATCAGGAAGCCGAGGCGGAAGGCTCCGAGAGCAGCGGAGATGAGCCAGAGACCCGAGCTGACCGGCGCAAGGCCGGAGTGCCGAGCGACCCGGATCCCAACGAGGAGGAGAAGCAGCTCATTTTCAAATTGCACGTGAACATGGGTCATCCGGACTCCCGGAAGTTTTGTCGTGCGTTGAGAGCCGGGGGGTTGAAGGGCACTTAGTGCGATGGGCTCGCTGTAAGTTTCGGCGTTCTGAATGTGAGGAACGGCAGCGCTCGAGCAACCGCCGGAAGGTCGCCATGCCCAGGACTTCCAGGTTCAACCACATCGCGGGGGTCGATCTGTTCTACCTGGAGCTTCTTGGGACGACCCACCCGTTTATGAGTGTGGTCGACCACGGGTCTAACCTGCAGGTTTGTGCTTGCTTGGCCGACGCTGAGGCAGCCACAGTCTGGCGGGCGTTCTCCACGCGCTGGGTCAGGCCTTTCGGGGCCCCCGACTTCCTGATGTCCGATGGGGGGGCGGAATTTGGGGAGCGCTTCGCTCGCGGCCTTGAACAGTGGGGCGTCTGTCATCATGTTTGCGACGCAGACAGTCCGTGGCAGAACGGGAGGGTCGAGCGCCACGGTGCCTGGGTTAAAGATCGCCTGAAGGCCGAGATCGACGCCGGAGTGTCCCTCCCCAGTAGCGTCGAAGAGCTCGATGATTTGACCCACGAACTCGTCGCCCACAAAGACTGTTTCTGGCATCGAGGCGGCTTTTCCCCCCAGCAGTTGGTCTTCGGTCGCAGCCCCCGTATGCCTCACGAGCTTCTGTCAGATGATGCGCGCGGTCTCCCAGGAAGGCACGACGCAACCTGCCCCGCCACTGAGCAGGACTCAGCAGGAGCCGAGTTTGCGCGAGCCCAGGAAGTCCGAGCCGTGGCCCGCAGATTAGCCATGGAGACCACGGTTCGAGAGAAGATAAGCCGCGCTTCGAAGGCCCGGGGACCCGCGTTTAAGGAGTTTACCCCTGGCCAGTGGGTGTTCGCGTGGAGGAACCTCAGCAGGACGTCGTCGAGAGCGGACGCTCTCGGTCGAAGGGGGGCCTGCTGGACTGGCCCAGGGGTGGTCGTGCTGTGTGAGAGGGGAACGGTCTGGGCGGCTGTCCGGGCCAGGCTCTGGAAGTGCTCTGTTGAGCAAGTCAGGCTTGCGAGCCCCGAGGAGGAACGCGGTCTGCAGCTGGCCCAGAGCCCACAGTGGCAGGAACTCCTGGCCCAGGCTCACACCAGGAGAGCGACTGCCGTGGACGTGCAGAGGGAGGGACCACCTCCAGACGAGGCCTGGGACGAGCCCGCCCGGCCCGACGTCGATCCAGGACCCCGGGTGCCGAGCGCGTCCGGACCTGTCCCTCCGTCAGCTCAGGGTCCCGACGATGTCGCGGCGCCGTCTCCTCCTCCTCCTCCTCCTCCCCCTCCTCCCTCGGCGGTCGGACCTCTGCTTCCCCCAAGAGGGTCAACGCCGCGGGCCCCAGGGGGGCCCGGGGCCCCCTCGGAGGCGGGATCGGCGGACGCCCACTACCCAGGCCGGGGGGTGTCCCATGGTTCCTAAATGAGATATAAGCAACTTATGTTGGGCTTACCATCTGTAGTTATAAGCCATTTGTAATTGAATTCTAAGTATGTCAATAACATCATGATAACTAAGGATAACTCAAACGTAACTCAAACGCGCCTTTTGTTGAATAGCACCCGAAACATTGTCTAAACCTACACGCCATAATATTGATGCGTTGTCTTGCACCATGCTCGCGCGGCCGGCCGCCCCCTTCGGATCGGGCTAGCCCAGCCCGAAAGGGGGGTCGTGGGTGGGGGGGGGGGGATGTGTCAGGGCTGCAACAATTTCGGCCCAAGATGGACAACAATAGCAAACGCAGGAAAATTATAGATGTGATTTCAAGCGACTGCACACTTTCTTACGAGGCGGCACGGCGCATAGCTGAATGTTTCTTGGATGATTGCAAAGATAAGGACGTCAGATTCAGGGGGGATCGGCCTCTTTCACTTGTGTCCGAAGCAGACGCTGACACACCTTTTGGGAAAGTATTGCGGCATCTAGAAATCGGCACGATAGATGATGAAGGTCGAGCTGGCACTTATAAGTGGGAGTACGCTGATCCGATTGCAGCGCTCTTTGCCTTGTGCGTTGCATGCCCATGTCTCACAATCATGATTCGCGAAAGCTGCCCCGACGGTATCGTGCCATTGGCTTTCTACACGGACGAATGCACTTGCGGCAACCCTCTCAGGCCCGAAAAGACGCACCCGAAACAGGAACAATGTTATTATGCACATACGCTTTCGCGCCTACGTCGCCCCCCCATTCCCGCTCCCCCCCCCCCCAAGCCACGCGCCCCGGCTTCCCTGGTGAGTCGGCGGCGCAGAATTCCGAGGCGGATCCCGCCGCGGCGACGAGGAGTTCAAAAGAGGCCCAAGAGGGCGACAAACGCCCAGAAACCTCAAGCTTC